CTAATATTTGTAAGGTTAACATTATCAAATTCACTCATATTAGAAGTTATTTTATTTTTCCTATTTTTTTGAAAAGCGACAATAATATGACGAGGAGTTTCTAGTTTAGTGGTCGCTTTGACCGGCCAAGTATGTCTCGTAGTCTGAGTCAAAGAGGGATATTCAACAAGTTCCCAACTTCTAAATGGAAGCAATATTTCACCATTTTTATCTAAAATTTTAGTTAAAGCTAATTGTTGTGGGATTTCTACAATCACGTGTGGAACTCTCCAATGAAGTTTTTCAATAGTTATCTTAGGTTTTTCTGTTTCATCAATAGATGTTACTGCGTCCAAGTCATTACTGCTTCGAATCAGAACTAATTTTTGTTTCACATTTAAAACAATTTTTCTGTAGTCTTCAAAAAACCCCATCATCCTTTGTTAATTTTCCCTCTAAGTCCAGCATGCTATCACAAGGTAAAATGTACGCGTCCAGTTCTTGAATTGGAATTCTAATTTCGTCATAATCAAATTTAGAAGTTACGAACGGTTGATAGTTATGGAACTCCAAACTAGCGATGGAATTATCTACGAGGGGTTGCTGGGTAACATTCAAAATATCCTTTATACACTAGTATAATGGATAGTACTAGAAGTACTAACTTCAAAACCCAAGGATTTTAAAAATAATTTATTTTCACGTGTTACTTTGTTAGTGCTTCTTTTCGAACTAATCGGAGGTTTGCTTTTGTTTCTCCTTTTATAACTGCGCTTAACAACAGGATATTGTACTACGTTGTACCGAACCACCATACTCTATGAGAGTTTTTTTAGATGTAGTCTTACCGTTACGACTTCTTCGCGAAAATTGACAAGGTTTCCGTCTTGATCGAGTATTTTAATACTCAAGTTGTTGATAGTCTTGACACGGGAAAGTATAGAATATTTTGGGGCGCTTCTACTATTTTATATCCTGGCGCTACGGTTGGAAAGAACTGATGAATTATATGAACGGGTTGTCCGTTGGAATATGACCCGACCGCCATGTTGCAATCTATGCATAAAGCATTAACCTTAATAATTTGGACTTGAATATCTGATTCTGACTCTATTTGGAGGGGTGAAGAGGGGGTTACTAGTGGGTGCATCGGGTTGCGGAAAAACAAATGTTATGATAAGTTTATTGGCGCATCCAAATGGTTTACGTTTTGAAAATATATACCTATATTCGAAATCTCTATATCAACCAAAATATCAATACTTGAAACAGTTGCTAACTCCTTTAAAAGACATAGGATATTATGAATTCAGTGACGGCAACGAGGTAATTCCTCCCAGTGTATGAATATGTAGATATTTTTCCAGCCGATTATGACATGTTTCTTAATTTCGGATCAGCCTTTAAGATGAAAAGTCTTATTGGACGCACTATAAATAAAGGAGATAAATTATTTTTCGATGTCGTACCAGGATACCCATCTTTATATGCAGAAATAGTTTTACAGTGTCCTATAGCAAAGAATGTCTAGTATCAAAGAAGTAGTAGTAAACGAACTCCATAAGCCAGCTAGAAAAAATTTTAGAAGAAGACACGTTTTAGTTAGAGGATTAAATGATTTAATTCAAGCAGACTTGGTGGAAATGATACCTTATGCAAAGGTTAACAAGGGTTACCGATACATTCTCATCGTTATAAACGTATTTAGCAAGTTTGTGTGGGCGGAACCTGTTAAACGCAAAACCGCAATAGAAGTGAGTAATGCTATGGCTAAGATCTTATCCCAGATGAAGTACATGCCACATAATTGTCAGACAGATTTAGGCAAGGAGTTTTACAATAAGGAATTTAATAATTTGATGACACAATTCAAAATTAATCATTACAGCACGTACTCAAATTTAAAAGCTAGTGTTGTGGAAAGGGTAAACAGAACACTGAAAAACTTAATGTGGAAGCAGTTCAGCCTTCAAGGGACTTATAAATGGATAAATATATTACCGGAGATTGTAAACAGGTATAATGAGACACAACATCGAACGCACGGTCTGGCTCCCATTAAGGTAAATAACAAAAATGCTACTAAACTGTTGCAAACAGCTTATAGCTATTTAAAAACCGTCGATCCGAAACCAGTAAAGTTTAAAGTCGGGGATTATGTAAGAATCAGCAAATACAGAGAGGCATTTAGTAAATCTTACACACCAAATTGGAGCAACGAGGTGTTTATAATAAGAAAGGTTAATAGGACTAATCCAACTACCTATCTATTGAAAAATCAAAACAATCAAGAAATTCAGAAAACTACACATCACGATTTCTATTTAATTGAAAAAGTCCTCAGAAGAAACCGAAATGATAAACTACTCGTAAAATGGTTAGGGCTAGACAAGACACATAATTCTTGGATTGATAAAAGTGACATAGTATAAATTTGTGACATGTAATTATAATTTTTAAATAAATACAGTACAAAAATTGACGTTTCTTTTAAAAAAAAGTAGTTTTTCTCACAAAGTTTTCAGATTTTTTGTTAAAGCTGTCGAAAACTAAGGTGAATGTAGTGTATTTTGCATTAATTAGTTTGGAATCGCTCAATGCTATTTTCTCAAAAACAGCTCAAGTCTAAATGTCAAGGTCACATTTTTTAAATTTTAAATGAAAAAAATTTAATTATTTTCGATTACCTATACCTACCTATAACATATTTGGGTGAAATAAAACTATAAGTAAAGTTAAAGTACCTTACCAAATTTTTTAATTTTTGTATAGAAATTGAAAATATAAAAAACGAAAAGAATCGTACGATTTTCTTAAAATTTTAGTATGTTGTATAAGTGGTCAAGTAGAGAAAAAAAGTTCATATAATGTTCGCCGTCAGACCCACCATTCGGGTGGTACAGACGAAAAAGGGAAAATTCTTTTAAGTTTTCTCTGTTATTTGAGGAGATAGAAAGGTGAACTCTTTTTTATTCTAAAGCGGTAATAGAGAGCTATGGTACTAAACATTTTTTACGATTATTTTGTAAGTCACTAGTGGTGGTAGCTGATAATTTTACATAACGACGGGAGGTGAAAATATGTGCTATCAAACTCAGATGTGTAATTTCGAAAAATGTAATAAAAAAATAAGCGACTTAAAAAAAAGAGGTTATTTTCCTCTTATGTGTTGTTTCCTCTTTTGTCTCGAATTCTATTTTATCATACACTTACCTTTAGAAAGTACCATAATACTAGAATTTATTCCTTATATTTTTATTAAAATATTACTAAGTTTGCCTTAAATTTCTAATAATAGTAGTTTCTAGTCAAATTTTCATTAACAAACCTATTTAAAATGAAACACATTAAAATTTGAATGTATTTTTTATTGACATTATTATACAAAGATATTTAAAATTAAAATGCGGTGGCAGTTGTGGTTACAGCACTGGCGGCGGCGGCAAACCCCTTGAATATTAAAATCGTTCAACAATTGTAAATAAACGAAAAAATTAAAAACTGCTTCTATTTATTAATTGTTGACAATCTAATTCTAAGATACTGCATCAGTGCCTTTATCTCCATCTTCTCCCATGGCTGCGCCACAATCCTCATCGCCATCTTCCCAAAATCATGCAGCGGCACCTGAATTTACTTACGATGAGGTTCCAAGTCAAATTGTTTTCTTTACGAAGAAGATAGGTTTGCTTGTGAATACGAACAACGCAACAGAGCCCATAGACTATTTTAATCTTCTGGCGACCGATGAGTTTGTTGATGAACTCTGTACAAAAGCTAACAGTCATGCAGTGGACCTAATTGCATTGAGCTCTGGGGAAGAACCAAGAATTGCGCGATGGAGGGATGTGCAACCTGTTGAAATGAGAAAGTTTTTGGGACTACTCTTTTATATGGGAACAATTAAACTAAACAGAGTGAATGATTACTGGAAAAAACATTATATGTTTAATTTACAATGTTTTTCGCAGTTTATGAGTCGAAATCGTTTTCTGCTCATTCTAAGATCTTTACACTTTGAAAATCAAGAAGATGAGCCTCGCACTCAAATTGGAAAAATCATGCCTCTAATAAATTTATTATCCATCAAGGGAATTGTCTATGGACGAGTCCATGGGAAGAGGCACAAATTTGACATAAAATTGTATTCTCTTTGTGAACCTAATGGTATTGCAATTAAAATAATTGTCTATACAGGATCAGCGGATCATGAGTTGTCGGGAACAAAACATACAGAGAAAACTGTTCTAGTCCTCTTAAAAGGCAAATTAGATCAAGGTAATTCCATTTATATGGATAATTATTATAATAGTGTCAGTCTGACTAAACAATTACTGACGAAGAAAACCTATGTTACAGGAACCTTGAGATCGAATAGAAAAAATCCTACAGAAGTGGTAAAAAAGAAGTTGAAAAAAGGGGAGCAAATTGTTCAATATACTTCGCAAGGAATATGTGGGCCCCCACAAGCAGATGCATTGTCAAAAATTAAGATTACTCACCTTCCTGAGCTTTGCCCTAAAGGTGAAGCAGCTAGTACCCGAGTCAAACGAAGGAGATATAAAGTTTGCTGGGAAGGCGAAAAATTAGAAAAGATTCCATTTATTATTGTCCCTTGTGTCCCGACCAACCTGGATTTTGTTTATCTCCTTGCTTCAGAGTGTTTCATTCCAAAAAATAAGTTTTGTTTATTATTATTTATTCGGTTTTACCGTTTTATATTCTGAGTGTACATTTCAATTTTTACATTTTATTTTTTATATTTTATCTTTTTCCTAAATATTATAATAAAACATTTTATTTTTTCAGTTTCCTCCAAAACGCCCTAGGGGCGGTTCCGGGCACCTGAACGACACCGAGCACTGGCCGGTGCCCGGACCGCCTAGGGCGTTTTTTGTTTTTTTGAAAAAAGTGATATTTTACCTTAATATAGAGCTATCTAACCACCACTGGACACCATCATAAAATATTTAAAAAAAAAATAGGTGGCAGCAGACACTTGAATGATATTTTGTCGGGCAGCGAATGTGTTAAGATATGATGCCCCATCCGCGTACGTTTCACTAGGTGAGTTTTTACAAAAGGACACTCTGTCAAGTCAGTATTCATTTTGTTAACTATTCGACAATGATTATTTTACAACAGTTTATATAATGCAGAAATTAATTATTGATTCCCACCTCTACTGCAGCCATTGTACAATGTAGTTTGCTTGAGAGCGTTGAGACCACATTCCATACATATTTCTATGTCTGCAAAAGCAACTTGCAGCGAAACAAAGAAACCGGTCTTGTAGCACCTGGTGATGCAGTTTATCGATGCAACATTCCATTCGAACAAAGAAACAGGTAAAGTAGCGTGGGTTACCACCTCCAACTGTTAGTCGGCGTGGGTACAAGTTCCACATTGCCTGTTAGTATAAATATCATACCCCGCCTTTACTGTTCAGTTTATATCTACAAGTTTACGCAGTGCAAACAATGGCAGACAATCCAAAAAACGTATTAAGTTTAAAACATCGCGAAAGTGATGACGAATTGACCGATGACGAATGGGTGCCATCGTTCGATCGGAGAGTGGACCAAAATTTTATTACCAACCGGGCCAACCAAGCAGTGCAGGAAATAATTATTTTGAGCGACACAGTTTCCTCCGACAGAACCATACGCCAGGATATATCAGTGTCTTCGTTGCAAACATCCATCGTCGAGGGGCCTTTGGCAGCCTCTCCGCAGAAAAAGCGTGCTGGGAGCCCGATTTTAGCGTCCAGCAGCACTTCGGTGGTACGCTCTAGCGACGAGGGACCTTCGGCAGCATCTCCTCCGAAAAAGCGTGTTACGACTCCGATCTTGGCATCTAGCAGCACTTCGGTGGAGCGCTCCATCGACGAGGGAACTTCACCACAATTTCCAAAAAGTCGTGTTGAAATCTTGGCCTCCAGCAGCACATCGATGGGACGCCCCGTCGACGATGAGGGTCCAACCTTCCGCCCAACGATCACATCAACTCCAAGACAAAATTGTATTGAAATCTTGGCCTCCAGCAGCACATCGATGGGACGCCCTGTCGACGATGAGGGTCCAACCTTCCGCCCAACGATCACATCAACTCCAAGACGAAATGACGGGCTGGATGATGTTGTTGAGTCGATAAGGGCGAAAGCGGCCCTACAACACATCCAGCTTGAAGAGTTCAAAAACATCTGGTACGGCGATTTTAAACAGTACGTGAGGCGAAAAGAAGCCGAGTTTATTAATGAGGTGAGATTTAGAAGACAAACAACTATCCAAAATTTAGAGAAAATTAACGAATATCGCAAAGTACTGGATGAAATCGCCGAGGAGTTGACGGTAGACATTAACAATATGAATGCCACCATGGCATATATGGATGGTTTTGCGGAAGGGTTACCAGAGAAGATGTTCAACTTACCGAGTAAGGCGAATAAATAAATTTTAGATAGATAATCAAACTTAATTATCAATAATTCATTCATTTTTAATTGTTAAAAGAAAAATTGAACTCTATATAAATTTAAAAGTCATATTTTGATAAATTTTTGATAGTAATTGCTTTTATATGTGTATAGTTTTGTATGTATTTAAATTTATTTATTTCTGTTACAGATGCTCCTCGACCCCGACCTCCCTCGGATTGACTGAACGTGATAGACTTTTTAATGTTAGTGTTAGTTTAAATTTAATATAGTTTTGTAAATATGTATATATCTGTATTATAAGTAAATTATTAAAATATCTGATTACCATTTACTTTCTTTTATTAACACATAATTTGGGTGCTTAAAAAGTTTAACAAAATAATTCACTAGTAAAAAGAACAATGTATTTTCATTGTTTATATATGACAACGTTCAGTAAAGAATTAAATTACAGGTGATTTTATAAAGGATTTATTAAAAGTGATAAGACTTTTAGTTTTAATTTAAATTTAATTTAACTAATTTGGTAAATTTCTGTATATACCTGTATTATAAGCAAATTATTAAAATATCTGATTACCATTTACTTTCTTTTATTAACGAATAACTTAGATACTTAAAAAAGTTTAATAAAATAATCTACTAGCAAAAAAGAACAATGTATTTTTATAACTTGTATGTGACAATGTTCAGTGAAGAAATTTACAGGTGATTTTATAAAGGATTTTTTTAAAATGATAGCTTATATAGCCTACTTTGCATTTATAAACTTCTGTACTTATTTCAATTGACTGTCAGTGTGCTTGTGTAGTAAAAATCAACCGTTGTTAATTAAGTAGGTTCTATAAATCCAATATAATTTTCAAATGACAATAAGCGTTATATGAGTGACAGAAAGTCTTCAGTACATGTTTTAAGATAAGCGATTTATGAATTAGACGCAATTTAATAGATTATTGCTTTTTAACTAATAGCATTAATAAGTTACAAGGTATATAAACAGCGTCTGATAGAGGGAGATGAAAGTATAAAAATTAAAGATATATAAGTTTATTGTAAATATAATAAGGTAAATACAGTTGAACAGGCTATTAGAAAAACTGACATTATTTCTACTAATACAGTTAATTATTAAGAACACCCTGCAGAATTAAAGGAGATTCTCGATTTAATTGATTTCTTAGTATTTGTTGCTCTTGTTTCAAACACCAGCAGATTCTATAATGAAGTTCGTCATTAAAATATGTGTATCCGGTCTCTTCACATAGAAATGTAACTTTATCCATACACATAGGACATACATGATTCCAATAATGTTGTCCTGTTTCTTCGCAAACTAGACATCTTTGCTTCATAGACTTATTTGCATTTGAGCAAGTATTGCACTTATCTCTGCAAATACCTATGCTGGTGTGTCTTAAAACATGATTACACTTTTGACACTTTAAACCCTCAACATTGTTATAGGTTTGTGGTTTAGGTGCCTCAATTTCTACAGGATTTAATTTTCTGCAACCATTACACAACCCAGTGAAACAATTAAATTCTTCTGTAAACCACGCTCTCCAACAGTTATAACACACCCTAGCATCATTTCTTCTAAATGGAAACACGAGAATTTTAGTTTTCCTGTCCCAATTCTTTGGAAACGGCATTGTTAGTAACTGGCGCCTTGTTCACAGGTACAGTGTAAATATACAGTTGAAGCTAAAAATAAAAATCGGTTAAGCATCTAACCGGTTCATAAGAACTGGTTAAACAAGTTAAACCGGATTTCAAAAACTTGTCCACAAATGCTGGGAATTTTTTAAAAGTTAATAGTCATAGAATCATTTAAACAAGTTAAACTGGTTAAACCGGATTTCAAAAACTTGTTTCCTGTATATATTAAGCTACAGTTCACAAGCGCTCAGAATTATTTAAAAGTTAGTAAGTCAACAGTAAGTGCTCATTCTAAAATGTATTGTCTAGCGTGTAACAAGAAGTTCTCTTCCAAATATAATTTGGCTCGTCATCTTAGAGAAAGTTGTTCATACCGCAATAATGAAAGCTCTCCTCTTAAGAAAATAAAAATGGATTGTCCACAAGCCACAAATATATCCAGTACTTCATCTGTTCCAGTTACTGATAAAAATGATGCAAATTCTTCTTTAGTTGGATGTCCAATATGTGGAGAACTTGTACCAAAACGAATTTTTGTGGGACATATGAGACGTAACTCACACAAAGTTGTTATGTCACCGGTGGATGAAGGCATTGAACAATTGCATAATCCCATGAAGTTTAGAATAGCTAGTTATCGTTTCTCGAGTCAACACCACCACATCGATCCTTCAGAATTTTTTATGGAAATGTACCCAAAGGTAGTTGCTGTTATATCTGAA